GCTCATTCATTCCCATATGTTCATTCCCAACCTCTAGAAAGGTGCCAAGAAATATCTGTTGGGGCTGGAGCAATAGTACAGCAGGTAAGGTGTTTGCCTTGCAAGTGGCTGACCTGGGTTCAATCCCTGGCATACCATATGGTTCCCCAAGCACTTCCATGATTAATCCCTGAACATTGCTGGGTGTGACCCAGAAAGACCCCCCCTAACCCCCCAAAAAAATATCTGTTGAAAGATTCAATCAAAGGAAGCTACAGGACAAAGAAAGATGAGGTTTCCAGGAAGGCTCTTGTAGAGCTGGGTTTTAGAGGCTGCAGGCAGAGATTCCTGGGTGAGTCACAGCAACCTAGTTTGACGAGCACTGTTTGAAAGAATGGAAATAAAAGCCCAGATGGAAAGATCTTAAGGAAATCAGCTGCATGCAGGGTAAGTGGAATTTCAGGTTCGGACAGACTGAACTACGATGTACAACACTGGATAGGTCTGATGGGCCTATTGCATTGCATTATTATTATATGAATAATAAGGAAAATATATAACATATTGAGGATTTATATATATAATAAGGATTATTTCTTACAGTTAAAAAACAAAACTGGAGGGAAATGTTTGCCTGCAGCTACTGAAAAAAAGAACCCCAGGAAGAAGGCAAAACTTCTTGAGTCAAAATCTCAGGAATTTTGCACTTTGAGCTTGTTCCCTTGGGGTTATCCATATGCACCCCGCTAGAACCTCCACAGTCCTTGGCCTGAGAAGCTTTCTGGAAGCCAGGAAATGCTCACCAAGGGAAGACTTCTGGGCGCTTCAGTGCATCCCTTGCTGCGGGGGGTCGGGGGAAGGGGGGAGATATCTGATGACCATGAACACAATGCAATTGTCTCTCTGCTCAGTACTGACCTCATCACTGGGCCATTTCCTCCCAGCTCCTTCCTCACACTCACCCGAGGGCCCATCAGACCTATCCCGGCAGGGTCAGGCCGCATAGTTTTTCTCTTCCAAAAGAAATAGATGAATAGGATTTAGTCAGCAGATGTGAGCCTGGCTCTGGGCCTGCAGGGAGAGACTGCTGAGTACAATAAAAAAAAAAAAATCACAGCCCAGAACCGCTGTCATCAGAGCTCCACGTGGAGCAGGTGTGGCCTGACCTCCCCTAATCCCTGCAGAGCTATTAGCCACCTGCCTGGACAACTGCAGACAAAACTCCCAGGAATGATAATCAGACAAGATTGGAGGCACATGGGGATCCTCTACCCAGCTGCCTCTCACTCTGCGTCACTGAATCCTGAATCCACCCCAGTGAACCAATCTATAGTATGTCTAACTCCACCAAAGTATATTGTGAGTGGGGCCCAGGACATAACACAGTGGCCTGACTTGCATGAGTTCGATTCCTAGCACCACAACTGGCCCCATGGCGAGGTGTGGTTCCCTGAGCACAGAGTAAGGAATGAACCCCAAGCACCGCTGGGTGTGATCTAAAAACTGAAAAACAAAAATAAAACAAAGAATGCACCATCAAAGTATATTATGAGCGTCCTTCCATGCCAATGTTAATAAGAAATAAGACACTGTCAAAGTCACTATTTCTTGTCTGTCACTTCAGATCTATTTTTTTTTGTCAAGTTTAACAATATAGACTTAATGATTAATTTTTAGATCCTATCTCTTAGAGATCCCACATTTGCTGAGTAGAAGGAAGAAGGCCCATGTTTAGTGGAAATCATTTTGGATACCCTTCTGTACCTGAGAAATGACATCACAGGCATGTCCTCTGACCTACGAAGTACTTGTGGCCTGAACTTCTCACCTGTTCATGTATCAGCTGGCCTTCCTTCTCAACCTTACTTGCAATTATCTTAAAGGGTAGAAACTATCATTTGATCTCTCATTTCCACCTTGCTTTGCTTTAAAAAGATATCTTTTGAAAATCTATATCCGTGTGTGGGTGTGGAAAGGCAAGTAGTAATTTACATTTCATGCTAAAAGCTATGTGCACTGGATAAATAAATCAAAATCTGTTCATGTTAGCAGGAAGTGTCTTTGACCACATGGAGTTGGTCCAGCTGCAAAATGCCAGGGCTGCTCTCCAGACACTAAGTATAAAGCTGCAATTTTGAATTCAGCTTTTGTGTGCATTTTTTAAATGTCTTTTTTTTTTTTTTTTGGTCAGACTAACAGTATTAAGGAGAGGAGAAGAAGGACGTAGTCCCTCAAGGAAGCATCAAATATATTATGGATGAAATTCACTGCATTTATTCTCTGGATGTCTGCCGTGTGCCAGGTAGCATGCTAAGAGTCTTATAAATACTCTTTTATTTAATTTTCAGTCGCTCAATGGAGTCTCATCACTCCATTACACATAGAAACCAAGGCACAAATTGCTCAAATAAAGACAGCAAACAGCAGAACTGGGATTCAAAGCCAGACTGTCTGACTTCCCCATGATCTCTGACCAGCTGCCTAGAGATTTCCAGTCTATACTTGATGGTCTCTTTCGTAAAGGGCCAAAAATACTCCCGAAATGGTGCCAGGGAGATGGTCCTGGTGGTAGAACACATGCCTGGCATTCGCAAGTCCTGAGTGGAATCCTGACACTGCATGACCCCCAGCACCTCTGGCTGTGGTCCTAGTGGGAATCCCCAGCCCCATCCCCTATATAGCTGGGCAACACTGAATTGTCAGGTCTACATGGAGGAACCAAGAGCATTGGGAATGGCCCCTATAAAGAACAAAAACGTAACAGAAAACCCAAGATTTTCTCAAAGCAAAAATAAGCAAGCAACCAATGAACACTTGGCCAGAGAAAGCCAGGAGGGGAGGGGGAATTTGGGAATAGACTTATTGAGTTTGACTCTGTAAAACGCCATCTTGGCTTCTTAAATGTGTTTCCTCTTCTGCCCCATCATTCACTCAATCAGTTCAGACTGTATCACTCTTCCCAAACACCGCCAACCAGCAGCCCATTTGGTTGACAGCAAAGTCAAACTATATCCAGACTGATTACAATGCTACCCCCATCTTGAACAAAATTGTTCAATTTCTTCTCTCAAGCCCCTACTATAAATCTCATATTAACAGAATAAGTTGTCTTTTAAGAGGTCTTATAATGACACAGCTCAAGACCACTGCTAACCTTATTCTCCAATGCTCCTTTGCTCACTCTGCTCTTGTCCACAAGGAACTTCCTTGCTGCATCTTGAATAAACACAATATGCTTCTGCTTCCTAGTCTTTGCACTGATCTTTCCCTCTGCTTGGGGTACTCTCCCTCAGAGTATTTGTACAACCTCCCACCTCCTTTATGCTGTTGCTTAAAGTGAGGCTTTCCATCAAAACCCAATTAAAAAAATGTAACCTAGAGGGCCTAAGCAATATTACAGTGGGAAGGGTAATATTGTACTGCCTTGACCTGGATTCGAGCATCCCGTATGTCTCCGAGCACTATCTGGAGTGAGCCCTGAGTGCAGAGCACAGCCCTGAGCACAGGTGGATGTGGCCACCCACACCAGAAAGAAGTTACAATTGACAATATGACTCACTGGTAAAACACAAGGCTCATAGGTATAAGTGGGTCTGGGTCTGGCACAGCAAAAATAAATAATCATGATAAAAGTAAAACGAAGTAAAATTACAATTTGACTTCCCACCCCAGCACTTCCACGAGCTCTTGGCGTGTTCTGTTTGTTGTTGGAGCGCTTCTCATTTTCACATCCTGCTGACTGGTCATGTTTACCATATCCTCACTCTCAGTCAGAAGCTCCATGGGGGTGGGAATGCTTTTGTCTGCCTCACTGCTGTGCCCCCAGCACCAAGATAGAGCACTCAGTGGCCTCTGCAAATACTTGCTTAATTAGTGTTTTAAATGACTTTCAAGTGTGAAAAGTTGATGCTCCTATATCAATGTGCTTTGCTTACCATCTGGCTTTGAGTAGGGACTCACTCATTCACCTACTCAAAGCTTAAAGAAGACAGACATGGGGCAATGAAGACAGCTCAAAGGACCGGAACATATGCCTTGCATGTGCAAACTTGATCCCAGGGCTCCCAGTAGGCTCCCAGATACCACCAGGTGTAGCCTATGGGCCCTGAGCACCCACTGTCTAGTATCTAGCACATGGTCTGAGTGGAATGTCTTGAGGAGCATACACAACAATCTGGAGGCCAGAAATTGCCAGGTGTGGCCCCCAAGGCCTCTTCTGCATTGTTTGGAAGACCTATCTCACTTGCACGCGCGCACACACACACACACACACACACACAGAGCAAATGATATGACGTCTACATTCCCGTTGGCTCTAGTTCTGTGGGATGAATCTGGGAAGCATTAGGCTGCAATTTAGAAAGCCTGAAAAACTATTTAGGAGACGAGGCAAAGTTTCAGTGGCAGAATGGACATTGGGGGATGGTGGGAGTCTGCATGGCCTTCAGATTCTTGGTTTGGACAACAGAACAGATAACACCAGAAGTAACAGAGATTGAAAATGCCAGAAGAATTCAATGTGCATGAGTGTATGTGAGTGTGAGTGTGTGTGTATGTGTATGTGTGCGCGCGCATGTGTACGTGTAAGTCGCTGACTCCTAGTTTAACATTCACAGTCATTTGACAAATAACTAACGTCATTATTGCAAAAACCTCCCCCAGGACTGTAACAGCAGAATTTAAACAAAAAATATCCCGAAGGATCCTGTTTATGTTTCCATCTATCAGTGGTCTGCAGTGGCTGTAAGAAGGAAGATTCCCTTCTAAGGAAAAAAGTAGGAATGTCTTCTCGGAGGTTAAATTTTCGTAGGGGTTGAAACACAATTATTTAGTAGAAGATATATATATATATATATATACACATATTATATATCCACACACACATATACGTACTAAGATTCCTATAAACTTCAAAGACATTGTTCTATTTCTTTGGAATTAGGCAGTTTTAAAAGATCCCCAAATTCTTATTTTGCCAAACAAAAGTAGAGTTTTTGGGCAGTTTTACTCTCATACCTTACCTGAAAAGCTCTCTCGATTTAGCTTAGGTCTGCGAATGATCACAAAGTCTTTATCATTCCCTTTGCTCTTCAGCCGTTTTTGTGGGGGACTCAGGTTTGAGAGCAGTTCTTGGGGGATGTTCTCACTGTCCACCTCCTCTTTCTCCAGAGCAGAGACCCCCATGCCTGACAACAGTTCAGAAGTCTTGCCAGAATCCCATCCCCACGTAAAGCTCGTTGCAACGTTGCTACTCTGGTCAGGAATCTCCTGTAGGTGTTTCCTGCAGAAAGCACAATAGCCCCGTTTTTCTGAAAAATGGTTCGAAAATTATCCCAAAGCTTAAAATAACCTACCAGTCAGGCACTGCAGAGTTTTCACAGCAACTAACAGAATTGCTTAAGAAAAAAAAAAAAGGTTATGGAGACTTTTAGAGAAAGAAACCGAACAAAACTGAAAAGGCCTCTGACTGAGACCATGCAGAAGGCCTAAAGAATTTCTTTTTAAAGTGGAGGGAACGAACAGGCACGGAAAAGAGGAAGGCAATCGTACAGTGATTGAAATCAGCAGGGAAGCTCTCGACAGGAAAAACCAAATAATGCCGCACCCTGATCACAGCACTAAAATAGCCATCCATCCATACCTTCCCAGAGAAGGAGATAAGCGAGCAATCATGGATAAATTACAGCATAAAAATCGATTATGAGCTAGAAGCAGCATTGGCGGCCTAAGAGAATTAAAAGAGTTCATTCATGTTCTACCCCCTTTTGCAATCGGCTTACCTGTGCATGGCGGTTGCAAATTAGGGGTTCCGAGACGCGTGCATGAAATTGCAGAACTGCCTTGCTTTCCAGGTTCCCGCTTTGGCGCGCGGAGACTCGCAGCTTGGGCTCGGACCCCAGCAGCCAGACCCGCCAACTCTAATAACGTTCCATCCTCCCGGCGCGCGCACGACTTTTCTTCCCCGCTCTCCTCCGGGACCGCCGTCTGCGGCCCCGCTGCCTGCTGGGAATCGTAGTTTCGGCCCCGCCTGGCCTTCCCTTGGCCACGCCACTACTTCCTGCCCGCGCCTCCCGCCTTTAAGATACCCAGAAGGCCCCGCGGCCGCGGGCCTAGGGCCCGCCCACGGAGTAGGCGGTGAAGCGGAAGTGGGCGGTGCTCCGGCTGACTGGGAAATGTCAGCGGCTTGACGGCTTTGCCTTTCCCGGGAAGCCAGAGGCCTTGTGGTGGCCGCCACCGCCGGGGCCTCGGTGCCTGGGCCTCAGACCACACACACAGACACACACGGACACACAAACACCTGGGACCCCGCACAGACACCCGGGACCATATACAACTCACAGAAACACACACACACACACCCGGGACCGCTGTGGCAGACGCAGTTTCCCGGTGCTTCCAGACGCCGCGGTCGGGCGAGATCGGACGGTGAGCCTGAGGCGGGGAAGGGCGAGAGGAGGGAGAGGCTCTGGGGGTGGGGGGTCGGGGCAGCCCGGTGGGACGCGGCGGTGGGCGGCCCGCGCCCCTGCTGGCCGCCGCGGCCCGGGAAGGGAGCGGCGAGGGCGGCCCCGTGGACTTAGGTCGCGGGACTGGAACCTTCCCTGCCCCCGTGAGATCGCGCGACGCGAGCGCCCGGGACGCGGGCTGCGGGAGAGCGCCTCGGGGGGGGGGGGGGGCGGCGGGCTGTTCCGGTAGCCGGGACCCCGCGCTCCTTCCAGCATCGCCCCCCGGCAGCCCGCAGATCTCTGCCAGGGCCCGAGCCTGGGAAGAGAGAGAGAGAGAGAGAGATTGTCTATGTTTGTGTTGTGTGTCTCTGTGTTGTGTGTGTTTGCTTTGTGATGCAAGAGGTGCAGAGCGAAGGTGTGTCAGTGTGGTGTGTGTTTGGTGTAGGGAGTGCAGGACGAGGGTGTGTGCGTGTGTGTGTGTGTGTGTGAGAGAGAGAGAGAGAGAGGAGAGAGTGTCTCCGATTTATGGTGCAGGAGGTGCCGATCGAGGTTGTGTGTGTGTCAGTGTGGTGTGTGTTTGTGGTGTAGGGAGTGCAGGGTAAGGTTGTGTGTGTGTGTGTGTGTGTGTGTGAGAGAGAGAGAGAGAGAGAGAGACTCCCATTTATGGTGTAGGAGGTGCCGAGCGAGGGTATGTATGTCAGTGTGGTGTGTGTTTGTGGTGTAGGGTGTGCAGGATGAGGTTGTGTGTGTCTGTGTGTGTGAGAGAGAAAGAGTCTCTGCTTTTGGTGCAGGAGGTACAGGGCGAGGGTGAGTGTGTGTTTGTATGTTTGTGCGTGTGCACATCTGTGTGTTGTGCGTTTTCGTTTTACGGAGCAGGTGTAGGGCAATGGTGGTGTGTTGTGTTTGTCTCTGCTTTATGGTGAGGGGTGATGGTGTGTATGTGTGTATGTGTCTCCGCTTTATAGTGCCAAGGTGCAGGACTGTAGTGTGTGTGTGTGTGTGTGTGTGTGTGTGTGTGCGTGCCTGTTTGTGTGTTATGTGCTTGCAGGGCGAGTGGACCCCCCCCCCCCCTGCACCGCCCCTCTCAGTCCACCCGCTATGTGAGTTGATTTCCTGGCCACCCCCTAAAAGCCTGCTGCTCTCAGCCTGTTTCTGGCAGGCTGAGAATTTTGGGGGAGTGAGAGTTGGGCAGGAGGCCAGTTCCAGGTAGGATGACTGAGCGAAATTGGAAATCCCACCGTGCAGGCGACCTCAAAATAAAGAACCCCCCACCCCAGCTAACCTCACCCACCCCCCACAAAAGCAGTGGCAAAGGGGGGCAGAGTGTACCCCAGCCCCTGCTGAAAATGGAGAGGATTTACCAAGTTCTGAAGTGGAACAGGGTCGGTGGTGCAAATAATAATGAAAAAGCAGCCACTCAGTGCTGCCTGGCGATGCCTTCGTATCTTTGGAAAAGAGAAAATTGGCCCTGTATTGCAATGGAGCTCAGTCTTGTGCTTGACAGACGTGCCCCTGGAGCCTTTAGTTTATTCCTGAAAGTAGGTGAGATGGGGGTAATGGAGGACAGAGGCCCACTAGTTGATTTGGGTTGAAGCTGGTTACTTGAACCAAGGAGAAAGTTTCTCCCAGGTTTACCTCTTCCTTGAAATTGAACTCTGTAGATTAAACTGATTTTCAGCAACAAAGATTACTTTCATCTCTAGGAAGGTGAACAGGACAGGGAGAGAGTAAATGAATGGAAAGAGAGGGGTGGGGGGAGAAAAGAGAGACACGAGTGTATAAAAATGCCAGGAGGAGAAAAAAGTTTCCAAATACAAAAGTGTTGGGGAAAGACCACAGTAGATAGGAAGTCTGGTAGATGGGAAGATACTAAATTTAATGGTGAGGATTATCTCATACCAGAATTTAGCCAGTGGTTGCTTGAGAGTTAGAACATAGTTCTAGTTCTCAAAATAGTTGGGGTTTCTGGATAGATGGACCAGGTTACTCTGTAAAAAGCCCGTAGAGTTTGAAAATCAAAATCTGATACTAAAATAGAGTTTTCTCTAAGTTTGCTCTAGTAGCAGAAGTATTTTAACTTGCTGAAATGAAAATTTTACCCCCAGTATTTCTTCTAATCATAGCCAAGTCCTAATACATTTTTATAAAAATTTAATTGGTACTTTGATTCTCTCTCTCTCTCTCTCTCTCTCTCTCTCTCTCTCTCTCTCTCTCTCTCTTTCTTTCCCTCTCTCCCTTTCTCTCCCCCTCCCTCTATCCTTTGGGGTGGGAGCCACACCCAGCAATGCTTAGATGCTTAGCAGTCACTCCTGGCTCTACACTTAAGAATCACTCCTATTGGTGCTAGGGAATCATATGGTATACAGGGGACCAAACCCTGGATTGTACAAGGCAAGTGCCTTACCTCCAGTACTGTCTCAATCCTCATTAATGTAAGGAAACATTGAAGTCTTTGCAATTTTTGCTGGAGAGATTGCTGCCTGTTTTTTTAAGAATGGCATGGTGATTGCTACTGATGAGGATTACTTTATTGTACCGATTAGTTTTATTTGTTTACTCTCTAATTTAGCACACACCATGTTCTTCTTTCTCTCTCTTTTGTAAATTTGTTTTGGGGCCATATCCGTATTGTGTTCTGAACTTAGAGCTTAGTTCAAAATTTAAGAGCTTGAGATCTTAGAACTGGTGGGGCTCAGGGATCCATTGTGGTGTGGGGATAGAACTAGGATGATGGGCAGGGAGCACGGTGCTATATCTGACCCCCATGTTCTGTTTTAATAAGAGTGGTATGTTACATTTTTCGAAGTCAAATTTCTAGATTGGTATATCCTACAAATGAATTGCATTTTTTAAACACAAATATCTACAAGTGACATTTGTGAAACTAATTTAGTAATTACTTTGGAAGTCTCAGAATACAGAGTGACTTTGTTAAGTTGGGAAAGTACCATATAGAGTGGCAAGAGCATAGTTTGTTCATGTATGGTCAGTATTTCGGCACAAGAAAGGTGGAAAAAGGACTGACAATTTCAAAAGGACTGACAATTATCTTTGTCAAATTAAATTTGTCAGTTTACTCATAAGTTTGTACTGGTTTGCTCTTTTTCTCTCCTCACCCTCTCTACCTCCCTTTAAGTGTTCTTTATGGAATCAAATATAGCATTATATATAAATAAAAGTGATGTACGTAGTTCGAGTCTAACAAATGGAATAAGTTTTAAACTTCCTTTCTTTTTCTTTTTATATAGGAGTACTGCTATTTATTCAGCCATTGATTAGCTGATTGAATTGGGCATGAACTCCACACCTTTCATTTGTTTTTGATTTATTTAGGGGAGCAAAAAGTAAGCACAGTTAAGTTTCCACTACAGTAATTTTAAATTAAATTTAAAATTTCTCTGCATCTTAATAGTCTCTGTGATTGGAGCATGAGGCAAAGTTCCTCACCAGTTCTAATTTGCTCTTTTCTACCTTTGCCATATTCATTATGTATATACAAGGTGAAAATGGTTTACTTAAATTTGTGATGTTTTTATTTTTCTTTTTTGGGTCACACCCGGTGATGCTCAGGGGTTCCTCCTGGGTCTGCACTCAGGAATTACTCTTGGCGGTGCTCGGGGGACCATATGGGACGCCGGGGATTGAACTCGGGTCAGCTGCGTGCAAGGCAAACGCCTTACCTGCTATGCTATTTCTCCAGCCCCTGGTTTACTTAAATTTTGTATTAAACATACCTTTCTTAGCTTTCTATCTATATTTATCTAAAGAAATAATTACTTGAAGAATCCTTCTATTTTATTCGGTATGATTCAGAACCAAAAGAAAGATTTATACAGTTTTAATTGAATGAGAAAACTTGTCTGAAGCAGAAAAAATCACGCAGTACCCTACCTGTGAACCAACCTTTACAGTCAGAATGCCACCTTTTGCAGCCCAGCTTTGCCACTCCCTGTCTCTGGGAATGTGGACACATGCCCCTCCCTGTGCCATTTTCTCCTCTGTTAAACAAGGAGTCTAGCAACTCTCGGCTGTGAGATCTTATTTGATAAAGTGTGCTCAGTGTTTGGATTACAATAAACTCATACTAAATAAATGCTTGCTCTTCCTGTTTTGAGAATTATTTTGTTATGAGAAAGGATTCTGAGTTTCATTTACCAAAATGAGTCTATGTTTTCTATACCTGAAATTGTTAAGAATTCATTACCTCTGTGTGTGTGTGTGTGTGTGTGTGTGTGTGTGTTGGCTGTCACACCTTGGAATTTAGTTTACTTGGTTAGTTTTCCACCTCAGCTCATTTTTTTTTCTTTTTGGGTCACACCCAGCGATGCTCAGGGGTTTCTCCTAGATTTGCACTCAGGAATCACTCCTGGCGGTGTTCAGGGGACCATATGGGATTTGGGGAATGGAACCCTGGTCAGCTGCATACAAGGCAAATGCCCTACCCGCTGTGCTATCGCTCCAGCCCCTCAGCTCATTTTTGAAGGTGGTTTTTAAAGACATTATGACCTTTTCTCTTTAGTTGTTGCTGGTATTCTAAGACCACACCTGGAGTTCCTTGGAAGCCATTGGCAGAGCAGTACACCAGTTCTGGTCAGAATTTTTCATCAACTCACAGAATCTTTAGTTTTGACATTTTTTTGTCCCTATTTTCCTGTTCACTTGCTCTCAATTTTCCTTTTCATATATTTTTTTCTTTTTCTCTCACTTTTTTAATTTTAATATTTGGGACTCTTTTAATTCCAAAATTATTTTACCTTTAAAATTTTCCATTCTCTAAGTGTGGTTAACTTGAAAAGCATCATCAACCATAAAGTACTCAGGAAACAGTACTCTGAATCAATAACATTAACAAACTCATTATGAAAGGCATTTGAAGGTACTATTATGTAATATCTTGATGATTGAATTTTAAATATTTAAAACTTTCAGAACTAATGTTTTGAAAAGTAGATGATGCCTGCATTCCAAGTCCAAAAATTTGAATTAATGGGATTGGCATGTTGATTTTGAGTAAAATCAAC